CTGTGAGGGTCAGCAAGTTGGGAAAGGTAAAATACACAACCATTGCAGGGGCATAAGTGGAAGAAGAAACCAAGGAAACCTGCACCCAGTGAGCATGGATTACAACGTACCTTGAAAGGGTGGGTTGAGTAGGTTTGTGGGTGAGCTTGACCACGCCGGCGGGTTTTCATTTTTGTCACAATGTCGGCTTGTTCCTGTGGTGTGCGGTACTGTAGGTCTGTCTGGTATGTTGCTAGTGCACTTTTGTGCACCTTGCACAGTGAGCAAGGGTAATCAGTCCCTAGGGACTTGGTGCAGGTGATTTTGCAGGTCTCTGGGTAATCAGCTACGTAGGCATACAAAGCCGGATACGCCGTGAAGACATGACCAGCCGCATCTTCGACGCGGGTACCCCTGTGGTGAAGCAAACAGATTTCAGTTTGGGAAGGGGATGTTGGACTCACGTAAAAATGACAATGCGAAACCATAGGGTAGCGCACTTACACAAAACTGGCTTCCTTGAGAGGTTCAAGAACCTTACACAAGACATGTTGGAATGCTTGTTGGCAGTCCTGTGCGTTGTACTCAGATGGAAATTCAGGCAGCATTGCAATCATTGCATGCCCAAAGGGCTTCCAGCGATCCTCCCGATGGATGTTTCCAAGGGATAAATACACTGGATGTCCTTTGGCTTTTCCTCTGCTGTCCATGAGTGTTTCATCAGAGGCGATGATGAGTGTGGCAACCACATCATCAGGCCCCAACTTGTCCTGTAAGCGGACAGATTGCACACAAGAATTAATTGTTGCCACATGACTCCACGTGGCCAGCATAAGAAAGAGAGTCCTCTTACCTGAACATTGTTCCAGAAATCGGCGGACTCTGGAGCATCGTATACTCTCACTCCGTTGATGATTTTTCTGGATGCTCAGGTAATGAGGCGGTGTGCAAGGCGAGGTTCACTCATGAGGTCTCTTAATGCCTACAAACAACAGTGGGCCGACCAACAGGGGGGAAGGCGGGGAATGAGGGCATGGATGTGGGAGGGGAGAGGTGCATGCCGCCTGGTGGCGCATGGCTGGGCGCAGCAGCGCGGATTCAAGGGTGTGAGGATGGGGGAAAGAGAGGGGAAAGGTGGGGAATGAGGGCATGTATGTGGGAGAGGAGAGGTGCATGTCGCCTGCTGGCGCATGGCTAGGCACAGCAGCGTGGATTCAAGGGTGTGAGGATGGGGGAAAGAGAGGGGGGTGGCGGGGAATAAGGGCATGGATGTGGGAGGGGAGAGATGCATGCCGCCTGGTGGCGCATGGCTGGGCGCAGCAGCGCGGATTCAACGGTGTGAGGATGGGGGACAGAGAGGGGGAAGGCGGGGAATGAGGGCATGTATGTGGGAGGGGAGAGGTGCATGTCGCCTGCTGGCGCATGGCTGGGCACAGCAGCGAGGATTCAAGGGTGTGAGGATGGGGGAAAGAGAGGGGAAAGGTGGGGAATGAGGGCATGGGTGTGGGAGGGGAGAGATGCATGTCGCTTGCTGGCGCATGGATGGGCACAGCAGCGAGGATTCAAGGGTGTGAGGATGGGGGAAAGAGAGGGGGAAGGCGGGGAATAAGGGCATGGATGAGGGAGGGGAGAGATGCATGCCGCCTGGTGGCGCATGGCTGGGCGCAGCAGCGCGGATTCAACAGTGTGAGGATGGGGGACAGAGAGGGGGAAGGCGGGGAATGAGGGCATGTATGTGGGAGGGGAGAGGTGCATGTCGCCTGCTGGCGCATGGCTGGGCACAGCAGCGTGGATTCAAGGGTGTGACATAGTTTCCTTTCCTTCTGGCGAATCGAAGCTGACAAGGGTATGGCACTTTTCCGGCTGTGTGTTTCGTTACACACCTTTATGCAATCGCAGAAGTGGTACTCCAAGACGGCTTTCTCCCCAACACGCGTGTAGGCCTTTTGCCATGATCTGTCGCTGGCTGTCACACGTGACGCGACGTATCTGTTTACATCGCGCGTGCTCTTCCATTCTGCAACATCTGCCCATGATGCATCAGGGTGGTTTAAAATGGAGAACAGCTTGGACACGGCTCGCTGCGACAAACTTTCCTGAAGAATCCATCGAGAAATCTCATCTCTAAACGAGAAAGGTGCTGCCGGGCAGGGCTGAGGACCATCAGCCGCACTTCTGAACTCGTTCTGTGACTCGAAATCACTAACTCGCGAAATGGGGGACTCGGCGAGACAGACGTCTATATAATCCGTGTCTGGTACGTCAGCATCGTCGTCGACGAGTGGTTCGGCAACGATGGGGGCGTCATAGGTAGGAGGGGCGCATACGTTAGCCGTACAAGTCGGCCTCCACGTACTACTTCCAGGCCTATGCGCAGCTTCGCCCCCAGTGGAGACAGGCCTTTCAGCAACCTTTGCGCGAGCCCTCTTGCTAGCAGCGGCCAGCCTACAATTGATGCTACCGATGTGAGACTGTAGGGCTGCCCACCTCTGAAAGGGGCCTGAGTCACATTCTTTGCATAACATGGTGAGATCTGGAGGCTTGGAATGAGTGAGGAAACACAATGTAAGCACTCTCTGCTAGTCTAGGGGATTGCTGAAATGTGACCTCGCAAGCAGTGCAATGTTGGGACGGTCCACACCTCGCGTCGCGAATGTGCCCATTTTGTGTGTTGGCGCTCTGCTATTTGTCAATCTCTGCGAGGAACGTTCCACCGTTAGATTAGAATCTACGATACAAATCGCATGTGAAACCTTCGCGCTCTAACTGTGGTAGCATTCGCACGCGAGCGACGCTTCTTCGCGAAATCTCCAGGGCAAACAAAAATTGAACCAATCAGAATGTCGAGTTTCATGCGAGGTGGGAGAAGCGTAACGGTTTGACATTGCCGTTCAACCCAGTCAAGGATCCACGAAAGCTAGTCCTTCAACGAACCACCGTTTGGGGGCCGATTGTGCAGCTCGAACATGTGTACAGGCATGTGAATTTGCCAGGTTGGCGGGATACCACGCCTCGCGTGGGCCAGACAAATGTGTGAAACATCACTGTATACAAATTGAGCTCGCATGAAACAAACTGAGAAATAGATCGTAACCGTTGATAAAAAATGTTGTGCTGACAACCGTAGATGATAAACTTTGGCGCCGCGGAATAACATCTCGAACCGCGATTGGGCGTTTCTGCAGCAAATCTGCCACATTTACAGTTGAGATACTCTCGTACACGGCCACCTTGCACCAAATGGGCGTGTACGGGAACAAACCACAACCAGCCCCGAGCCCTCCGAGAGTCCTTCAGCTCACCCCTCGTAAACAAGGGGCCCCCCATTTTTGAGATGAAGGCATCCCGGGCACATGTCGTCGTGGTACCTCAACGCGGATAGACCGGTAAGTAACACTTAAAAAAAAACAGAGCGTTCTTGACTCCGGAACTTACTATGTTTTGAGGCCAGTCCACAATTAAAAGCGCAGTTCATGTGTTGGGCACCGTGGTCCCATGACGCGGATGGACCATTGAGTGTTTCTTCAAATAAAACGGCCTTTCGAACCACAGGACGTGTAGTAAATTCGAGTCCTGAGGAACGGGTTCTTGATTGATACCTCAGCGCCAGACGCTGGGGATTGCTTTTCAAGTCGTTAGATTGAGAATGAAAGTCGTTCGTTTCCTCACTCTCGTTAGTAGATGTTCCTTCAAAGTGAGAGTTCCTTGGGATGTGATGTCGGACAGGCTACTCTGGCCATGCCTCTCAGAGTTTCTATGCTGATTTTCTATGTTGATTTTCCCGGCCAAATTAACGGAAACCCATTGCGACTCTGGTTTGTGAATCTTTTACTGTGCAGAGTTTGAAGCACCAGCGCAACTTGAAGTCGGAAGGCGGGCAGCAGTCCAAGAACTGGTACGACCGGGGAGCCAAGGTCTTCCAAGCAGCCAAGTACCGCAAAGGAGCATGCGCCAAGTAAGTCTCTCTACTTACTGTGAGCCATTCCCACCGTGAGCCCTTCTCACTGTGAGCCCTTCCCACCGTGAGCCCTTTTCATAGCCCGAGAACTGGTATGACCGGGGAGCCAAGGTCTTCCAAGCGACCAAGTACCGCAAAGGAGCATGCGCCAAGTAAGTCCCCCTTTTCGTCATCCCTTGTGCGCCTTTTTGGGAAGTACAGTACGTATACATCTCATTTCAATTATGTGGCTCACGACGACTTATAGCTCCGAGCTCGTGGCATGTGGCTCATGACCCATAGATGGCATGAGGCTCATGGCCCATAGCTCATGGCATGTGGCTCATGACCCATAGCTCATGGCATGTGGCTCATGACCCATAGCTCATGGCATGTGGCTCATGACCCATAGCTCATGGCATGTGGCTCATGGCCCATAGCTCATGGCATGTGGCTCATGACCCATAGCTCATGGCATGTGGCTCATGACCCATAGCTCATGGCATGTGGCTCATGGCCCATAGCTCATGGCATGTGGCTCATGACCCATAGCTCATGGCATGTGGCTCATGACCCATAGCTCATGGCATGTGGCTCATGGCCCATAGCTCATGGCATGTGGCTCATGACCCATAGCTCATGGCATGTGGCTCATGACCCATAGCTCATGGCATGTGGCTCATGACCCATAGCTCATGGCATGTGGCTCATGGCCCATAGCTCATGGCATGTGGCTCATGACCCATAGCTCATGGCATGTGGCTCATGACCCATAGCTCATGGCATGTGGCTAATGACCCATAGCTCATGGCATGTGGCTAATGACCCATAGCTCATGGCATGTGGCTCATGACCCATAGCTCATGGCATGTGGCTCATGACCCATAGCTCATGGCATGTGGCTCATGGCCCTTAGCTCATGGCATGTGGCTCATGACCCATAGCTCATGGCATGTGGCTCATGACCCATAGCTTATGGCATGTGGCTCATAACCCATAGCTCATGGCATGTGGCTCATGGCCCATAGCTCATGGCATGTGGCTCATGACCCATAGCTCATGGCATGTGGCTCATGACCCATAGCTCATGGTATGTGGCTCATGACCCATAGCTCATGGCATGTGGCTCATGACCCATAGCTCATGGCATGTGGCTCATGACCCATAGCTCATGGCATGTGGCTCATGGCCCATAGCTCATTGCATGTGGCTCATGGCTCATAGCTCATGGCATGTGGCTCATGGCCCATAGCTCATGGCATGTGGCTCATGGCCCATAGCTCATGGCATGTGGCTCATGGCTCATAGCTCATGGCATGTGATTCATGACTCATAGCGGCAGCTGTGGTGCCATGATCCACGAGCAGAAGGCATGCACAAAACAGCTCGAGCCCACCCCTCACCTTACCACTCCAGCTGCGTGCACAGAAAGACCAAGGACGCTTGGAGCCAAGTTCACGTCTCAGTTCATTGCACCAGACGAGTTGCTGGAGTCGTTCAACCTGGACTTCGACAGGAAGAGGGACCGGTGTCGCACTTGTCTTCAAACTCCTTCCACCCCCCCTCTCCCCCTTCCACCCCCCCAACAACTGCTGCAGCACATACGCGCGCGTGTTGGCGGCTCACGGGGTGAGATGCGCTTCGTCTGCTCAACTCCCCCTTCTCCTTCCCTCCCCCCTCCCTTCACTCTCCCCTCTCACCTCACCCCCTGCAGCTGTGGAGCCATGACGCAGGACCAGAAATCGTGCACCGAAAGACCAAGGAAGCTCGGAGCCAAGTTCACATCCCAGTTCATAGAACGGGACGAGAAGGTGGAGTCGTGAGGCACATGCATCTCAGTGTCCCCTCTCCCTCCCCCTCTCCTCTCACTTGATCACTGCAGCTGTGGTGCCATGACCCACGACCAGAAGTCGTGCACAGAGCGACCACGAAAGCTAGGCGCCAAGTTTAAATCCCAGTTCATAGCACCGGACGAGAAGGTGGAGTCCTTTGAACTTGACTTCGACAGGAAGAGGGACCGGTGGAACGGGTTCCACCCGAGCACATACGCACGGGTGGTGGCAGTAGCACCTGCATCTCATGATACGAGTTTCCTCTGCTCAACCCTCCCCTGCTTCCACTCCTTCTCCCTCCCTCCTCCCCCGCTTTCCCCCCTGCTGCAGCTGCGGTGCCATGACCCACGACCAGAAGTCGTGCACAGAGCGACCGAGAAAGCTAGGGGCCAAGTTTACATCCCAGTTCATAGCAGTGGACGAGAAGGTGGAGTCGTTCGACCTGGACTTCGACGGGAAGAGGGACCGGTGGAACGGGTTCGACCCGAGCACGTATGCACGCGTGGTGGCGGCTCATGGGGTGAGGGAAGAGGCACGGAGAAAGTACCAGAGAGAGCAGCAGCTGAGGAGGCTGACTGGTGGGGGGGAGGGGGGGGAGGGGGGGCGGGGGGGGCGGGGGGAGGGGGAGGGGGAGAGGGGGAAGGAGGGGGAGGAATGGGAGGAAAGGGCACGGGAGAAGGGGGAGTGGGGGGAGTGGGGGGAGAAGGAGGAGGACCAGTGGGATGGGGAGAGGCGGAGAGGGATGAGGCACGGGTGGACGAAAGCGAGCAGAGGGATTTTGCCAAGGTGGAGAAGCGAGTCAGAACCACAGGTGGAGGGAGCACGGGAACGGTCAGGAACCTAAGAATACGCGAAGACACGGTGAAATACCTCCTTAATCTGGATGTTAACTCCGCCTACTACGACCCTAAGACTAGGTCGATGCGCGAGGATCCGAACCCGGGTGGCGACGCGGACGAAAAGTTCTATAAAGGGGATAACTTCAATCGGATCAGCGGGCAGGCGGTGGAGTTTCGCCAGCTCGCGCTACACGCGTATCACGCAATGGAGAAACGGGAAGGGAAAAGGGAGGGGAGGAGAGCAGTGAGAGGGGAGCAGGGCGGGAGAATGGACGAATGGCACCATACAAAACTGAAAGGAACAATCCACCTTCCCAAGGGACGACATGCGAACAAGCAGCTGCAGAACAAAAAGCAGTGGTGGGAAAAGGAGCAGGGGGGGGGATTGGGGGGGTTGGGTCCGGGTGGGGCTCACCTCGTGTGCTGGACCCGCCACCCCATGCTCTCCCTTTGCTGCCCGCTGCAGTGCTCCCTCCCCTTGCTCCCCCTCCCCTGCACGGCCACAAGGGGAGGGGCACAGGGGAGTCTCGGTGTTGACCCCTCCCCCCACCCCTCCCCCCCACCTGCAACAGCCACGCACACCCACAGTCAGTGGGCAGTCACTAGCCAAAGCGAGAAATGCGTGATGCAGGGAAGAAGGGAAAGGGAGGGAGGACCACTGGTGCAGCTGCGCACAACCCACACACCCAAGGGGAATACCTGCAAGGGGTGAGCTGGTTATGTCCCTAGCTCCTTAAGGGAAGCCTTACCTGAGGGCTGTAAGTGTTGTAGCGGGTCTGTGAGTCAGAGGCTGCTGCACCAGTGGTCGATTTCAAGAGATTCGGGGAAGGGAGGGAGGGGGGGCGCCGGGGGTGGGGACTGGGGGGGGGGGGGGGGGGGAGGCGCGGGGGGGCGGGGAAGGGGCATGAGGAGGGGGGGTTAATACAAGGAGGGGTAAGTCAGGGAAGACAAGAACTCATCTGAAATAATGCTCAAGGTGTTGCTGCCGCCATTGGTGCTGCTCCCTCCACCACTCCCCCCACCTCTCCCTTCCACCACTCCCCTCCCCTCCTCCTCTCCCCACAGCCACAGTTGCGGGAGGGAAGCAGCCGCGTGGAGGGCCGTGAGGAGGGATGAAGGGGGGTGGGGATGGCAGCAAGGAGGTGACAGGCTCGGACTGGTGCTGCATGCTGGGTGCTGCTGAGTGCATGTGGGTGGGCGCCGGGCACAGGTGGTGGTGTGTGTGAGTGTGTGTGGTGATGGATGGGATGGGAAGTCTGTTTTTGAGGCGCCTCAAAAACAGACTCCTGGGCGCAGGTGGTGATGTGTGTGAGTGTGTGTGGTGATGGATGGGTTGGGAAGCCAAGCTCACAGAGCGGATGAGATGACATCAGCTGCAGTAGCAGTGCGCACAGGCCACAGACCACGGGTACGGAAGACGGGGGTGGAGGGGGTAGAGGGTATCGAGTTATGGTTCTAAGGGCTTCAGGGGGGGCATTACTTGGGGGGGGGGCTTACCTGGGATGCCTGGTCTGTGGCCTGTGCACTGGGCTGCAACCAGAGGCGCGGTTTGATGTGGATGGAAGGAGATGGAGCATGGGGTGCGTGGGATGACATGGTGTGACATGGCATGGGGTGGCATGGCGTGGTGTGACATGGCATGGGGTGGAGCTAGGCCGCTCACCTAAGTCAGTGAGCAAGAAGGTCAGCCAGCGGAGCTCCTGTGCCGCCATGGCACCGGCGTAGATCTCGGCCTCACAACTAGACTGGGCAACAGACGAGGAGCGAGTAGCTCTCCACGAGACGGCACCTGAACCAAGGCTGAAGCAGTAGCCCTGAGAAGACCTGAGGGTCTCGGCATCGTCTGCCCAAGAAGCGTTTGTGTGTCCAGTAAGGACCACTGGCCTGCGCCCTCCTAGCACTAACCCCATGCCCGATGTACTTGCAAGATAACGCAAGACCCTCTTAGCGGCAGACAAGTGCTGCGGTCGGTGTCTACCTGTGGCCACAAAGCGAGCCAGGATGCTGAGAGGGTATGCGAGATCCGGGCGAGTGCAAGTCATCAGGTACATGAGGCAACCCACCAGCTCTGCGTACGGACCACTGGGCTCTACTGACTCCTCAGGAACTGGAGCGGAGAGTCTGTGATCTACCGGCAGAGGGGTGGGCTGTGCAGAGGAGAACTGAAGGCCGAACCTCTGAAGGACCTGGCGCGCCAAGTGTGACTGAGTCAAGGTGATGGTGCGCGCTGCTCTATCCCTGGAGATCTGCAAGCCAAGGTAACGACGCAGCTCTCCAAGGTCAGTGCAAGTGTGTCTCTTCAGCAGCTCTGCCTTCACGGAGGCCAGTGCGTCCCTGTCTGCTGTGGCAAAGACAAGATCGTCCACGTAAACAAGGATGTAGAACGGAGTCTGGCCAGCACAAACAAAGAGTGAGGGGTCTGCAGAGGACGGAAAGAACCGTAGGTCAGCAAGGGTAGCACGCAGCGTGTCGTGCCACTCACGGGGAGCCTGCCGCAGGCCGTAGATGGGACGCCGCAGGAGCCACTGGGTCCCAGGAGGGAAGGTGACGGTGAAACCCTGAGGGCGACGCAGGTAGACCTGCTCGTGTAGGCTGCCCTGAAGAAACGCAATGGAGAGCAGGGCGGAGGAACGGGGAGGAGGTGCACGTGCAAGGCGAGCAGGGGTGGGAGGAGGTGCACGTGCAAGGCGCGCCGAGCCAGGCTGAGCTGTTGCACCGGGAGTTTAGGTTTCGGAAGGAGCGGCTGGTGGCTGAGAAGCGGGCGTCGGTGCAGGCGAAGTATGGGAACGCGGCGGCGAATGCTGACGAAGATGGGGTTACCAGGGAGTTGCTGCTGGGGCAGACGGAGGCGGCTGTGGAGTATGACCGGAGCGGATGCGCGGTGAAGGGACACGACAAGCTGATCATCCCCAGAAGCAGGTATGCGCAGTGATTACAGCAAGGGCATGCACGGGTACTACGTAGCGCCTAATAGGTGGCGGGGGGTAGTGGGTAGGGGGTGGGGGGTAGGGGGGTAGGGGGCGGGGGGTAGTGGGTACCGGAGAACTGTTACTGGGGCAGTCGGAGGCGGCTGTGGAGTATGACCGGAGCGGGCGGGCTCTTAAGGGTCATGACAAGCTTGTTGTTCCTCGAAGCAGGTACGCGCTGTGATAACAGTAAGGGCATGCACGGGTACTACCTAGCGCCTAGTAGGCGGGGGGGGGAGGGGGGGGGGGGGGGGGGGGGGGGTACTGGAGAGCTGTTGCTGGGGCGGCAGACGGAGGCGCTGTGGAGTATGACTGGAGCGGGCTTGCGATGAAGGGACACGACAAGCTGATCATTCCCAGAAGCAGGTATGTGTAGGAGAAAGGGCAATACCACAAGCTGGTGGTGCTTGTAACAGATAGGGTTACCGGAGCAGGCGGACGGTGAGGGGACTCGACAAGCTGATCATTCCTTGAAGCAGGTATGTGCAGTGATGACAGCAGGGACATGCACGGTAATACCTAGCGCCTAGTAGGCGGGGGGTGGGGGTGGGAGAGGGGAGGTGGGGTAGGGGGTACCGGAGAGCTGTTGCTGGGGCAGACGGAGGCCGCTGTGGAGTATGACCGGAGCTGACGCGTGGTGACGAGACGAGAAAAGCTGATGGTGCCGCGAAGCAGGTACGCATGTCATTTCCAGTGCCGCGAGATAGGGACGTGTGTGCGTTTGGTTTTCCACGGGTACTTAGGGCTGGCGAGTATGAGCCGACTGGCAGACGAGTGGTCATTCCTAGTAGGAGCAGGTATCATGCGAGTAGTATCTAGGGGCAGGTGCACGTCGCGAGAGCATGATAAGACCGACCAACAATGGCGCATCGGTACGCGCGGACTTGCTACGTGATTTGGAAGGAGCTCGTAGTTTCTGAAAGCAGGAAAGTAACGAGGGCGTCTAACGAGAGCATGTCATAGAGGACACCAGACTAGCGACAGCAGAGATGAGAGCAGGGAGGGAAGTCGAGTGGGTGGTGTGAGGAGCAACTCGAGAAGGGTGAGGCATCCGCACACCTTATGCGGGGATCCGATATGAGGGGTATTTAAGACGTTAGTGTTCCGCTATGAGTAATGTGTAGGATGTAAATGGCCACATGTCTTCCCTTCACATTTATGCAGAGTGAAAGGTGTTGCAGTAATACTTTTTTGAGATGGGGTGCGTCTCCCAATGGGCAATCTGAGATAGTAACGGTCAAAATTTTCTGGATGGTTATCTTTTTATTATGCCGTCCCTTTCATTCGGTGATTGCCCAATGTTAATAGTTCCGCGCCTGTTCGATAAAGCATGCAGATGGCAAGTGGAGATACTTCTGTTGTTGCCATGTTCCTCTCTCTCGTCGATTATTGTTTCTATCATCTCCTTTTGTGTTCACACTCCTCACTAAAATCAACAGCCGTGCGTTAGTGTGTGGTTATATGAAGGATGGTCAGTTGGATATGCCTGCTGTTGGCACATGCAATCTAGCCTCATCATTTTCCTACGTATCATGCCCATTTCCCCTCACTACATTCAGGTACAAGGAGGATGTGTACATAAACAACCACACATCCGTGTTTGGCTCCTATTGGAAGGACGGCCAGTGGGGCTACGCCTGCTGCCATCAGATGCTGCACCTGAGCTACTGCACAGGCTCGGCAGGCATTCGAGCCGCCGAAGCATCGGCGGAAGCTGCTGCTTCGGCGGGCGCTTTGGGTGATGGAAGGAGGACGGGGGAAGGCAAGGGAGAGGGCCGTGAGGATGGTGGTGGTGCAAGTGGCAGTAAGGCATCATCCGTAGCGGCGATGGCTGTGGTGGTTCCATGGGGGAGTGCAGGAGGGGAGGATGTGGATCCATCAATGCTCGACAAGGAAAAGCTCAAGGAAGCTGCGAAGAAGGTTCGAATCTTTGTTGCCATCAAAGCTA